GGAGGGAGCCGTGAGTGGACCCGGGCGGATATTCGCGCCAGGTGCACCAGCAAGCGGACGACGAAGTGGGCGACAGGTGAGGCTATGGCAGGGATGAAGATGCGAGATCCCGCCCGTTACTCAATAAAAGCGGGGGGGGGGAGATGTTAATTCGGGGTTATTAGCCATGGCGAATCCAAATATGGTGTCAGTTTTGGTAGAAAGTTAGTGGATTAGGAGGTTAGTAGAAAAAGTGGTGCGCCAGGGCTATGGCGGAGGCAAAGAGGAAGATGGGAAAGAAGGAGATGATGACTCATTTTTGCGTGGGTTCCGACAAGTGAGGAACTGTTTCGGAGGTTTTTAGCTATGGCTAGTTTGATGGCAATATTAGATTTGAGGGTAGACTAGTAGATTAGAGGTTAGTAAGAGAAGGGACTGCGCGAAGTAGTCGGAGATGACTGAGATGAAGGAGATGTGGAGAGGAAAATGGATCTCGCCCGTTTCTTGATGAAAACGGGCGAGCAGAGAGTCGATTCGGTGGTTTTGGAGATTGGCGACCCCAAATCCGAGCTCAAAACTAGCACTAGGTTAGTAGAATCAGGGTTAGTAGAAGGAGATGATGCGCGAAGGTAGCAAGAACGGATATGGTAGAGGTTGAAGATTAGTACATTTTGGTTATCCTTTGGATCGATTTTTACCAAAATGGAGATTTAGAGAACGACGAATCGAATAGAGGAGCTAGATTGGGGAGGGAGTTGTGGGTTTTTGTGCTATAAAGAAACGGAGTTGCGCCCGGGGGAGTAGCCGGTTGAATATGGAATGGACCTACCAGCGTGCTAGGGGCAGATTCATCCGATTTCGCGCATCCTATCGATGAAAGTAGCGTGTGATCAGCCGCGGGTTTGGAGTTTGAAGGGTTATGTGATGCATGAGTGATGAGACCAGCGCGTGACTGAATGTGTACGAAGTGAGCGGAAAGAAGAGGAGGGAACTTACCTGCTGGACTAAGAGTGGTCGCGCCATCCTCCTCACGGATCGACTCATAGTCAGCATAGTCGAGACAGAGGGGATGGACCGCGGTGATGAGCCGTATGCCAATCTGACCGAGGGGTGATGAAGCTGGTGACAGTGTGAGGGTACGTACCTGGTCTTGCTGATGGCCCAATAAGTTGACATTTTCACCTGAGTGATCTTCGCAGACTGCTCTCCCAGTATCGCCAGGAGTTGCCAACTTAGTCGTAACCATCATTACAACTGGAGGGCGACTGGGTGCATTGAGGAGCAGGTGAAGACTGAAGGCAGCAGGAAGGAGCAGGGGAGACTGAAGGTAGCGGGTAGAGAGAGAGAGAGAGTAAGGATATGGCAGAAGCAGAGATGGAAAGTTGGGCCTACCTGACCAACTGGAATTGCACGCTATACTGCAGCAGCAGCGGATCCTCCATGTTCTGGCAGAGGATTCACTCCGAGTGGTACGTCGTATTGGATTGAAGGGCGTAAGGCCGTTCGCGAGGTAGGAAGACTTACCTGCCGGCTAGTGCGTTGCTCATCCTATTGACAACGTTGTAGCCTCCCAGCTACGAAGGAAAGGAGGCTGAGACCAGCTGGCCGGTGCATTGTATGGCCGGTTGAATCGAGAGGACATGCCTGACGAAAGCCGGAGGGCAGTGAGCTATGCCTGTACAAAAGTAATCTGTGAGAGTGCTAGTTTGATTGTAACACTGTTGCATGACTGGTATAGGCATGCACGTTAGTGACTGCTATTGAGACCTGCGAGTTACTTTACCTCTGATAGAACAAAGTAGATATGCGACCACAGCCTCAGGATTGAATTGTCGTAGCCTGCAGACATGCGGGCTGTGTTTTCATGGTGTATTGACAGTTGATCTGAGAATAGGCACCAATTGGGCTTGTAGCGCACTCCGTCATCCCTGTAGGAGCGAAGAAGAAGCTGTTGTTATCCACCATCAGCTGCCGAGCACAACGTCGCTGTATTCCTTATTACGATGTATAAGTGCTCGCCGAAGTTGCTACTACATTCGGGCTTCATACTACAGTTCTGTGATTATTGTGAAATACTGAACTTATTGTTGAGTATTGTTACTAGGCACTGCTGCAGCGCCCTGACTCGGAGCAAAACGTGTTGGCCAGCGTTTAGAGTAGAGCAGAGAGGGTGAGCCCTGCTCAGAACGCAGCCTTCCAGGCTACGTAGCAGCGAATCGGTCAGAGGTTGGAGCACAGTGATTCTGGGATAAAGGGATCACACTCTAAAAAAGGGGGAGGTTACGATTGCGATTTGAAAGGTCAACAGGAGATACACATTTGACTATTGGGCTTCAATTTTGGTTAATCTGCTGCGATTTGACCATCATTGCGGGACTCTCAAGCGCATGAAGATACCAAGGCTTCTCATGGAAGTTGAGTTTGTCCCCCTTCTGTATCTCGAGAGTCTTAAACCCCTTATCTTCTTCCCTTCTTACTCTTAAGTCAAGTCTTGATCTGAGAGGAAGGCGGCAGGCGGGATTGCAACCCGTAGGACCGCAGCAAGACTCTGTGGGGGCCAACCCACCGATTGCGGGAGCTCTGCCGGAACCTATGCGAGGTTCTGCAGACAGGGAATTGAAAGGTAATTTTTTCTTTCTCTCTATAAACCTAGATTATAGCCCCTATTTGTACTATTCGTTGTGTGTTGACTGAGTATATTGTGTGTATTCTGTATTTGACTTTAAGTTTGACTTTCAGGACTTAAACCAGATTAAATAAAAGAATGCTTGTGCAATCCCAGTTTCACTTTTGTTGATTGTGTGAAAGCATATTGTAAAAAGGGAATGCATCTGGGGGAAGGTTAGGAGGAAGGCAGTATTACATAAAGTTTGACTGGGTCATTAAGGCTGGGAAGTCCCCATAAGTTTGGGAAGACCTTGTGCTATTTTTATTCCGGATTGTATGGAGCGTCAGACCATTCTATAAGTTTCGGTGGTCTGATTGCTCTGGAGGCTAGGGAGTTCCCATAAGTTTGGGGAGACCTAGTGCTGTGAAATTGCTTTGAGAATCAGACCATTCTATAAGTTTAGGTGGTCTGGTAACTCTGACTTGCGAGGGCTAATTGTGCTTAACTTTTTCAGGGGCCAAGTGCATTCTGTAAGTTCAGGTGCCTTGGTTGCCTTGTTCATTTTGAGGTTTTCTTTGTTTGTTTGGTTTTGAACGAGGAGGTCCGAGCCATTCTATAAGTTTATGTGGCCCGACCACTTCTTGCTTTTGCTCTGAAGGGGTAAATTTTGACAGAGGGCAGACCATTCTATAAGTTTAGGTGGTCTAGCCCAATGCCTCGCACAAGTTGAATCAGAGAGGAATGAATCAGGCAGAGAGCCAGACTGTTCTGTAAGTTCAGGTGGTCTGACTCAAAGCCTCGCACATGCTGGAACCCAAAGGTTATAATTTGACTATATTTTATTACTATCTTATTTAAGAACAGGCTAGTCAGACAGGGTCCCATAAGTTTGGGTGGCATGACTATAGCCTATCACAATCTGAAGAGACTATAACTAAGAGTATAACTGAAGGTAACTTTGGTCGGCTGAGCATTGTTTCTAAGATGAATGTCTCAACCCTACGCCCACTTTGAAGATTAAGTTCAAAGAGGTATATATAACTTGGCTATTTAAACTGCTGAGGGCGACTAGGGTGGCCTAGTCATACGCCCAAAGAAGAGAAAAGTTGTTGTGCCCTGTGTTTGTGTATACTCAATGGATGGGTCAGGCATGTCCCATAAGTTTGGGTGGCCTGACTTTACACCTTATGTAAGCTAGGTATAAAGGGCTAAATCGTTGAAAGACCATGAACTATTATCTGCTAAGTTGACTTGGGGATGGTGAGAGTACTTACCTTTGTGGTTTGGCCTGTATGTGACTGAGTGACGCCACTACTTAGTCTGAGCTTCAGTTTGATAGGTAGTTGCTTTAGTTTCTCACCACGTGCTAAAGCCATATGAGTTAGTTAGAAGTCATCTTTGGATGACGAACACGAGAAAGAATCATAAATTTCCAAAGCACGTCTAGAGAAGTCAATGACCCAAAGGCTCCAGTGTTCGCCGCCCTTGTGCACTGGTGCCAAAACGAGGTTATGAGACCGGAGGTCGACATCTTTAGCCCATCTGCTAACAGTTGCCGGACCTCGCAGAAGCAATGTGGAGGCGAAGAAAGAGTTAAAGGTGTACGTCTTTATGCCGGCTTCAGTCCGACCGCAGTCGTCCAGTAGCATCGCCATGTATAAATTTGACAACCTCATCGTTGAGCTTCTCGTATCCATTCATGAGTGTGATTATGTCCTTGACCGAGACCTGTAAATTGTGTGACGGCAAACGCGCAGCGATGAAAGTGAGCAGCAACTGAGAGTGGATAATGTCTTCAAGGACTACTCCCGGTTCAACAAACACCTGCAGCACACAGCAAGCACAACGGACGGAGGACTCTGAGAAAATGCGGCCCTAGTGACCAGGATCCGACGAACTGCCACTCTGCGGCCCAAATATTTCACGCATAACGTCACCCCTACTTCTGGACCTTCTATACACAGTTGATTCTAAACTAGCACTGTCCTTCTTTATATCCTTGCAAGCTTCGAGAAGGATTTCCTTGCAGTGCTTCTCGACAACACCCGCTGCCTCTGCAACGAGTTTCGCGCGCGGACCTACTATGGGCACAACCACCCGTTCGGGAGGCCCCAGAGGCTTCCTGTCCCCATAAAAGGAATCGGTGACATCGCCAAGTCTAGTGCCTCCCGCAACCAAGACTGACAACTTCGAGGGGGCAGCCGACTCCTACAACATGTGTGTTTGTCCGTGAGTTCGTCGACTTGTACAAGAAATAGCACACCATGTTCAGTTGGCAGTTAACAAAACAACTTCGCAAGAGTAACGAAGCAAACAACACCTCATGAACCCCAACGGTAACGTTCAGTTGGTGGCTGTCAATACAACTCCCCGGAAGCAAAGAACAAAACAACACCTCATGAACAGGTTGACGAGCGGGAAGCAAGCTGAGAAATTCAGTGCTTACCAGGCTTAGCTTCCACGTCATCAGAGTCCACCGATGGTAGTCCCAGCACGATTGTCGATCCTCTGCGCGTCGACGCCGCGATGACGTGCTCCAAACCACCTGGAAAACTTGACAGGTTAGAGATGTCGGCGTCGATGATCGGCGAAGGCATGAATTCCTCCCTATGGCGCAAATCCTCCATGTCCACGACAGACAATTTTATTCCGCTCCTCTCCGGACTAAGTGCGACGAGGTCCACAACATTGTCAGGTTGTGTTTTCTCCATTGCCCCAGTGTCGTATTGTGTCGGGCTCAAGGTTCCGTGGATGTCGAACAACACTTTCCCCCCCCTTACCTTCTTGTCCTCGTGCGATGTATCTTTGTCGTCGTCACTTAAGTAGAACAATTTATCTTCAACAACGTTAGAGGCCTTCTTCAGAAGATCCTCTCCCATAGCCTCGTCGTGAAGGACGGAGTACAAGGGGTCCTCGTAACCCGTCCCGAGTCGTTGGTCCAAGTCGACGGCCCGCATCTCATTTACGAAAGTGACGTGGGGCATGCTCACGTCGCCGGGCTTGAGATCAATCCGGTCCTCGGCGGAATGCAGTGGCGAGGACCCGTCCGCTTTGTCGAAAGTCGTGACTTGTCCACAACCCTCCACGCCTGCCAGTTCGAGTCCAGCGTTTGTCTGCTTCGGATGCATCCGAACTACGGCCGTCCCCAAAGCAGCATAATCGAGGGACATGCTGACATCGCCCAAGTTCGGATTCATCCGAGCCTCGACAGAGTCTGATGGCGCGGACATGTCCGCTTTCACTGCAGAGTCGCTTAAGACTGTTAACGAAGCACGCACCGTAACCGGGCATCCCTCTCCTAGTGTGCGAGACTGGACGTTGGAACTGGGCGCCAACTCACCCTCAAGGGACTTCATGGCATTGTCTCGAACACCGACTACGGAAGACGGACAGTCTGCCTGCAACTCCTTATGGACTTCCATGCACAACATTACGGCGTCCTTACACCAATCGGCTGTCATTGTAGACATGTCCTCCTGATTCGGATCAATCCGAATTTCGTTGGAAAGGTGTTCGGAAACCCGGAACGTCAATTCATGTTCTGTGGACCGCTGTGCTTTCTTGACGGCATGGACCTCCAGGTTCAGATTAATCCGAACTTCCTGATGTGTCGAAACGGAAAACGGTTCCAGCTTGTCACAGTCGGACCCAAGGTATGCTGTCGTCTCGCTTCCCGCAAGGCACTGAGTTCCGGACAAAGACGTCGTTTCCGTGGTTCGGATTGATCCGAGACAATCCGCCACTTGAGTCTGGAGCTGAGTTGGGCAAGTGCCATCCTTCGCAACAACTGTCCCGCCAACCGTATCGATAAAATGTGTCGCACTGGTGGAGCTAATGACAGAGTCCTGCTCGTCAGGCCGCTGCGCCAACCTAGACCTGAAGTCGTTTCCTGTCTCCATCGAGGTGCTGCATGTTGCCGCCAATGCCGCACCGTCGTCCTCGCCGTCGACGTCGGACCCCTTCCCGTCTCGTCTGTGATGCTTCGTCTTCTCTCCGCTGCGAGTTTTTTTCTTCTCTCGGCTGCCCTTTTTCCCCTCTCCGCCGCCTTCGTGCCCCGGAAACCGCTGTTTCGTCGAGCGTTGTTCACTCCCCTCCCCGGTTCCACGCTGACTGCCGCCCTGACCATCCCCTTCGTCGTCCTTTCCACGAGACTTGCGCACCACAACTCCAGTCGGCGGCGTGAGCACAGGCAACTCCCAACTTACGTGATTCAATGACGGGCTCAATGGAAGGCTGTAGAATGCAGAGGATACTTCCAACCATTTATTTGCTTGCAATAAATTGAACAACGAGTCCGCGTATGCCAGCAGAGCAGGGTCGTCCTTGCTTCGTCGATTGACCTCAACCAATTTATGCAATACCGCCTCGTAGGCTTGAGACTTGAAAGTATCGAGGTCCCAACGATCGTCATATTCCCACCCTCCACTCATATCCCTCACAACCACTGCCCACCCACCGTCGAGAAGGACTGGCTGGAAATGGTCAGGGTGCCACACGACATCATGGCCCCAATCTTCGGCATTGGAGAAGGTGTGTTTGTCGCCCACAGGAGCCGAGAGATGTGGATGGTCAGGAGGAACTGGTTGGCCTGGTCACAAACGTTCGGGGTGCGATGTGCGACGTAGTGGCTCCCCCGGTGAAGTCCTCAGACGGGACAACCCACCCCTCTTGACAGGCGCTGAGGAGGACATGGGTGTGGGACCGCCTAAGGCTGGTGTAGCGAGCGGTGTCCCCTGTTTGCATACTAAGGGCGACTCAGAAATGACTTAGGTATTGAAGATGGCTAATTGGTCGTCGAAATCGAAGAGGTCGTCCTCAACACTCTCCTTCCGCTCAGTCTCGATATTGAAGTCATCATCCTCACCAAATGTCAGCCTGTAGTTGTCCAAAGTGAAGTCGGCCGGATCGGTCACACCTTCATCGAAAAAGACATATTCCAACCTCTTCATGAAGCCCACTGCGTTGCTGCGACTCGCACCGTGGTAGCCCTGAAAGACTGCAATGGCGACTTGCTTTCGCATCACGTACTGCGCGTCAAACCTACACTTCGGTTGATGGCCGAAAAGAAAGGAGTAGACCTGACGCCTTTTCTTCGGAGTCAACTTGAAAAACATGTCCTTACTCGGGTCATAAATAGGCTCGACGATGACATGGTGGAAATCGCACGCGTAAGCCGTGGACCGGACTTCATGGTCAACAAACTGCACAGTATATTCAAGCTGCGTTGAGTCCCCTCCAAGGCCAAGACGTGCCTTCCCTGGTGAAGCAGATTCCACACCACCTGCGCGTGCGGATTGCCCAAGAACAACACAGCATCCACCACACCACAAAAGAAAAGAAGTTGACTGCATAATTGATTAGGATTCCTCTCGAATTCCTTGTACACAGCCTGCCTCTGGCTGAGGTTCCCAAAGTCCGAGAAATGCAAGGACTTGAAAGGCTTCTCCTCCACATCCGTGGGTGTCACTTTCTGCTTCCTCCGGAGAGCGGCGGCATCGTCTTCGGAAACAGTTCCCTCGTACACTGGCTGAGTCAGCAGCCGCGGATCCTCACCTTTGAAAAGGATGTGCATAACGTCCGGCTCCTCCCACACGCTGTTTCCATACTGATGCGTCTTCTGCGCAGGCGTCGTGCGCACCCACTTCCCCGTGTAGCATCGGGTAGCCCCAAGCGTAGACAAAGATGTCATGAAGGAGAGGTTCCACAGGCAGAGAACGAATACCACCAATGTCCGGTACTCCTGACAAACAAAGCCCAGGAACTCACTCAGACGCGAATGCTCCAGAATCCCAGCGCGACCGATCCACAGTTCCGCTCAAGTCCAACACGCAAGTGTGGGAGCGCAACTGATGGCCCAGTTTTTCCAGCGCGTCCTTACAGTCCATGGCATTCAATGGGTCGACGACAAACGGGGCCAGCTCCGTCACGGCGTTTGTCTTCCTCCACAAAATGTTGATGCATTCGTCAATGCCTCGAGGGCCTTTTCTGCTTTGCGCGCGATCTCCGGTGATCACCGATAGCACCACACGTTTCCACTCCGCCGGGAAATGTGGGTCGTTAACGAGGGCAACGGTTTTCTTGACGTTGTTGTCATGTTGACACCCTAGATACTGAGGGCACTTGTTGACGTAGGTGGTGTCGTTGAAAAACTTTCCGCTCTCGTTCCAAAGCTTTTCGTCGAGACCGTTGTCCACGTACTCGTCCAACAATTGTCGCTTGGACCTAAAGAACGAGGATCTGACATTCCACTCCTCCTTTTCCTCGTACTTGAACTCCATGTAGTGCCATAGCCTCAGCATAATCCGGTCGATTTTTATTATGTCGACCATCTCCTTCACACTGTACTTCCCCTGCTCCCCCAACTTCTTGCTACTCGATTGAACCCACACGACGGTAAGGTTCAAGACGCCGTTTAACAACCTTTTCTTCTCGTGGTCCGCCAAGTCTGCCAATTCATTCCAGCAGTGGACATCCGGCTCAGGAACCTGGACGTAGTAAGTTTTCTCCTCCGCGCCCTTCTTTGGCTTCCCCTTGCCCTTTTTTAACGACGGGTCGTCCACCTTAACGTACGAGGCGTGTTTTTTCAGTCCCTGGCTGTCATTCAGAGTAAGCAGTCCTGGCTTGGCCACCTCCTCATGGGTCGGCGGCTTTTCAGTCCAACGTCGCCCATCGGAAGCCATAAGTTTTCCTTTCGACCACTCGTTGTAGAATTTTTCCGCCAACACGAAGACTGACTCGTCAGCCATGACCAGTGGGAGGTAGTATCGAAGTTTCTCGGCCCATTCCTTTTTCTTTTTCTCTTCGGTTGACAAGCCCCACAAAGGGGTGTACGGTGTCTTCTTCATTGCTAAGGCCATGAACTGAGTCCACTTACGGACCTCGTCCTTTTTCTTGGACGCATTACTGAGTACGACACGCGGTCTCCCCTTAATTTTCTAGATATTGCGAATGTCCCATACGGACAAAATCTGCAACCTCGGCACATTCTTCTTGTCTTTAAGATTGTCTTCGCAGCTGACATGGGCGTAGCCGTCGAACTCGTCGTCAGGGAAGTAAATTGGTCTGAATGGCCATTCACAGAAGTTGTGGTAACTGAACACGGGATGGTCTTTCACCTTCATCGCCACCCTCGCTTTATGCTGACCACACACAGGATAATACCAGTATGTCTCGGGGTGTGAGTCGTCGAAGTCTTGAGGCAGCACGCCCACAGCAGGTTTGTCCTTCTCCGCTGGCGCGACGATCGGAGCTAGAACGAAAATCGGCTTCGTGTATCTCATGTCTTTACGTTCGTAGCAGTAGATCGTAGCGGCCGAGATGGTATCCACGAGGAACTCGTCCAAGGATCAGTGGTTGTACACGTCTTTCCAGTCTGGAATATGCAAGATTCTTTCGGGATGAACGTGCAACACAACGTCCCTCTGCACCCCCCGTCTTCATCTCCAAGAAGAATGCTTTGTCAATGTTAAATGTGTTCAGGTTAATCTCCACGCCGTCGTCCCCCTCCCCGGTGTCGCCCTCATCTGCTTTCCTCTCCTTCGCTGACTTTGACCTCTTCCCGGAAGACTCTCCGGTTCTTTGCCGTGTCGAGGACTCTCTGGGCGTATCATCCCCACCTCCAACCCTTTTCCTCTTCTCAACGGAACCGCGCTCTTTTGTCGTGGGCGTCTGAACACTCCCTCCTTCCTTTCTTTGCCTTTTCAGAGCCTCTACTCCCTCCCGCTCCTCCTCACCTGGCAAGTTGCGCTTGCCTCCCGACTGAGTCGTCTCTGGCGAGATCTCTCGAGTCGCCCACAACTCGAGTAGCTCCTCGTCACCAGGGACGTTCCCACCTGCTTCCCGGTGTGGGCTCGCGTCCGTCTGCAGATGTGTAGGAGCAAGGCGGACCGACCGAGTCGTCTCATCTGCCCCACGCACCTCTCGAACCTGCGAGCCACCCGGTCGATCGCCTGTCGACAACTTGGCCACCTTCATGCCACGAACGAACTCACCGATTCTTTCTACGAGGCGTCGGGGAGGCGTCGATCTCGAGGCCTGTTCCAACAGTTCGCTAACGCCGCCTCCAACCGACGTCCGAATTGGCGATTTCCCAAGCAAACCTTGGCGTCGAGATCCCTGCAAGCCTGGTTTCAAAGGCGCACTCGCACGCTCTTCCTCGGAGTTGTCCGACATGCCCACAGCCGGATCAGGAGGCGTACCAGGTAGTCCACCCTTCCCTCCCACACCTCTGCCAAAACTGACTCCTCGCGCGAACCCAACAGGACGACGTATCGATGTCCCAGGGTCGACGTCCATGCCACTGCCAAGGTCTACTGAAGCCACCCAAACCTCGAGGAAGACTTTCACATGAACGGCTTCGTCGTGGCCTGGCGACAAAGGGACAAAGAAGGGCAAAGCCATCGCACCCGCGCCGTACCCCCCGAACGTCTTGCCAGCAACCTTGCATCCTTTTGCGTGTTCGTCGACGGAACCACCACTTCTGTAAAGCTTCCACAAGGTAAACTTGAAAATGTCGTCGCCTTCGTCGCCGCACTCAACAATGGACCCTGCGAGACGCGTCGTATCTCCGTGAGCGGCGATGAACATGACCGACCCGCATCGTGGTTTCAACGGGTCAGAGGCGTCCTGGCAGGCCCAGTCCAAATACCAAACACGCTTGCTGTAGTCTCACCCCTTGTTGTTCCTCCCCACCGACACCACCACGACTCGTAGCCATGACCGGTGTCGACGTTGTCCTTCGAGGCTCCTCCCCATGCGGGGCGGAACCACCAACGGAGTGGGTTTCTCCGTGAGTAGCCATTCCCTCAAACACATGAAGCAATTGAACACACATCCACTCAGGACACTTGGCACACACAAGACGAAGCGATCGAAAACTTGAGCACGTCCTAACATCAACGTCGACCCACAACACCTACGAAGACCACCATCCATCTGGACTAGAAAAACGCGACGTCCAGTGATTGTCCGATGTCAATGGACCACGGGCCTGATCACGAAGGAGGGGAACTGCCAGCTTCGGATGAATCCGAAACACGGAAAGGCAAGACGTCACAAGAGAGAAAGGCCGGGCAATTTGACTCATCATCATGACACTTCCCTTCAGAGAACGCAAGGTCGCACACGAACACAAATTGCCGAAGGAACGTTCTCCCTATTGTTCGACGACGTAAAGGCACAATGGCAGGAGGCAAGACGTCCGGAGGAAATTTTGTCTATGCTAGAAATCGATAATCATATCTATTCATTCAGAAGGACGCAAGATTGAGCCAGCAGAAAAGTCACGGCAGAAGAAGGTCATCGTGTGGTCTGGATGCATCCGTAATCGACAGGGGTGTTCAGTAGCAGGGTGGAATTGTGCGAAGCAGATTGCCAAATGGATGATTCGGATGGATTTGAACCTGACAGCTGGGGAAGGTCGACGTTGATGGAGCGGAGGCTGTTGTGTAACCCCAGTGTGGTTCGGATGCATCCGAACTTCACAAGGGGAAGGCCGTCTTCACCCGTGCGGAAGCCTGTCTTCATCTGTGTGCTTCGGATGAATCCGAAGCACTTTTCGGTGTGTTCCTTGAGCACATATACACCGCGGCATGCTGAACGGCGATTACCAAAGTTTCCTACTTCGTGCTCTCGACTCGTAGAGAGAGAGAGCGATTTATTCCGGGTCAACCCAAGGCGGGGGTGTGCCCCTGTTGTGCTCGGACGTTTCAATGTTTTTTCATTCTAAAAACGCAGAAGTAAGAAATCTCACGACAGAAGAAGATCGTGGGAAGGTTCGGATACATCCGAACTTGACTGAGGGGTAAGGTCGACGTCGTATATGGTCCCCATTAATATGTACCGGTGTAGGAGGGAGCAAGACCACGCCACAGGTACCCAGACCGTTGATGGAACCGAGGCAAATGTGTAGCCCCGTTGTGGTCCGGATTCATCCGAACTTGACAAGCGAAAGGTCGACTTCTTGTTCCGATAGATTAGATATAGATAAGATAAGGCGACCGACATACGGCACGCCCTGACTGTAGGGCGTGCCGCCTTAGGCTCTATCAGTCTCTGATATGATATAAAACAAAAGTGAGAAGTAGCGAAGGGCCCTGCTATGTCCAAAATAATCCAGTGATTGTTCGCCTTGTGTGGTTCGGATGCATCCGAACTTCAAAGCGGTGTGGCGGGCTCCATCCGAATTGCGCGACAAGGCAGCCACGATGTGGTTCGGATCAATCCGAGGCAGATGTGTGCCGCCAGTGTGCTCGGACCCTTCAGTGTCCATTTATTCACAAAGACGCATGATCGACAGGTAGGATAACTCATGGCGGAAGAAAATCGAGGGAAGGTAGGGCACATCCGAACTTGAAAGCGGGGTAACGTCGACGTTGTGTTTCGCCGCCTCTGATCCACCGGAGTGCGGTGTGCAAGACTACATTGCAATTCCCCTGACTGTTGGTGGATCCGTGGCAGATTTGTGTCCCCGTTTTGGTTCGGGCTCTCTCCTACTGCAAAGTTCGGATGAATTCGAAGTACAGTCGGGGAACACCGGCAGCTCGGATGGTTGGTATGGCGACGACAGACCATGGCGTCCTTCCCACGGTTTCAAGTTCGGATTAATCTGAGGCACATCGGCGAATTCTGGATTTATCCGAACCACACGGACGAATTCCTCACGAGGGACAATGCATGTTCCATCATCATGGCCGTCTGCAAATTGTATTCCTCAACTGCATTTTTTCTCCAGGTTTCTGCAGTGCTCTGATATAGCGAGCAGGAGACTCTAATTGTGTTGCTACTGCCCATAATCTCGCTGATCTCTCGCTACACTAGTTCGCCCGACTCGAGACGGACAACTCGTGGATGATCCAGGTATGAGAAGGTTGTTGGGTAGACCTCCATTTTAGGACGGCAGTTTCAAATTGTTGTTTCTTGTCGCTGTTTCCTGGTTGCTGTTCTCCGGTTGCTGTCCTGAAAAACTAATTGGTTGCTGATTTCTAAACGTTGCTGATTAGAGGATTGAATGATTGCTGACCAGAAAAACTGTTCAACTACTGGTCTGAAAACTGATTGCTTGCTGATTTCTGAATGCTGCTAATTAGAGGATCGAATGATCGCTGACTAGAAAAACTGTTCAACTACTGGTCTGAAAACTGATTGCTTGCTGATTTATGAATGCTGCTATTTAGACGATCGAATGATTGCTAACCAGAAAAACTGTTCAACTACTGGTCTGAAAACTGATTGCTTGCTGAGGGTCGTTGTTTTAATTACCTTCCTGAAGTTCTACTCTGATTGGTGTTTCCTGGCTACTGGTTGACAGTCAAAACCATGAAGGTTGAATATCGCTGAGATTATTTTGAGCCCTGATTGATCGCCAATCAAATGTCGTTCAACTGTGGATCAACCCATGATCAAGAGTTGAGCATCCCTTGATTAGCTGGCAGTCAGTCGAAAACTGAAAGATGCATAGCAGGGACGTCTGGCATGTAGTCCTGGAAAAATAAAATGCTGCTGGTTGACAGATGACGGGTAAGTGAATGTTGTTAATCAACTGATAACTATCCCTTGTTTGATAGCCGTCTCATTTACTGCTCGTGACTCAATGATCTACTCCGTGTTCGGTTGCAACCTGTTTTTTGATCCTGGTTCTTTCCTTTTGGCCTGTCTCTGTCTGAAGAGAACCCCTCTCTCACCGAGTTTGAGACTTCAACTTTCTCACTGATCTCTGGCAACCACCCTTTTTGCCTCCTCAACGGATTCCACTGATGAGAGAGTACTGTGTAATTTCCCGTCAGACCCATAAATATAGCCAGTATACTCCACGATTGTTTGACCTCTCACTAACATCAGAGCTTGTTCCCTCATAAGCTTTTTCTGGCGATGAAAACTCTCACTCACTCTCTCTTCCCAGCCTTCGGTCATGTCCTGGTGCAGCGAATAGGTTACTCTCACTGTATCTCTTCTCTCCATCTTTCATCCTCAAAGGTCTATCACACTAGCCACGAGTGCAAACACTCGTATCAAGTATGACCAATATTATGAGCTCTAGGTAAGTACTCAGTCTTCAGTGACGAGTTTAATACAATATCAGATTGAAGGCTACCTGTACACTGAGTGHGACCCTAAGAAATGTATTCGGAACACTAAACTGTCCCGTCAAATACTCGTCTTTTGACATGTAGAGCGTGCCTTAATTCCCCCAGTTGAACATGAGTTTTATCGGGGTTTGAGCAGACGTGGAGCCCCTCCCGCCTTGAACCTGTACTGTCTGACTGTCAATTTTMTGGGGGCGGGTYGTAMGTGTTTATGCAGATAAATCTTTCTTTTTATTAGAATAGTTAAGTCATCAAAACGCTCCAAACAACTAGAAAATGAACCAAGCGAACATCCGGAGACTGCTAGAGGCAGGAGGTATCAGTCCCCGTCAAGCAGGAACTTGGCGATCAGGTAAGCCACCCTTTTCAACAGCCCTTTCGTTTCATATCGTTTCATCACTCAGCTTTTGAACTCATGAGAAAGGAAAGAGATTTGTTGTCCTACTGACCAAACAACGCGTTTGCAGACCTTTCGAAGCTACCACAACTCACACAGCCATTCGCAGACTTACAAAGTCACGCACTCAATTTACCTCAGAGCACATTCTAACCCTTAGCTCTATAGGCATTCCTTCTTTTCTTGTGAACATGTGCAAGTCAGTACACTCACAACCTCCTGCAGTCGCGCGAAGCTAATCACACAGCTCGGTCTCTCGAATCCATCGTTCCGTGTAATCACACAAGGCAATACGCACTGTGCAGTTATACGAATCAAAAGCTCGATGTGATCACGTGGCACAGGGTACACAGATGGAAAGGTTGCTCATCCTTTTAACTTGACCATGTGGTCAGCCAAGCCACTCAATACAGGGTTTACAGAAAGTAATATCCCAAGACTCAGATAGTAATCAAAAAGGAAGTTGTCTCCGTACTCCCACTTTGATGTGCAGGCACATTCGGTGAGCCAAAGGCAGATTCTCGTACTCGGGCTGATACCTACTTGCGCTCACCAAACCTGCACACATTCAAGCATATATTCGCCTATTCACTGGGGCACATGCCTGCTTATGTGTTCGCACACTCAATCCTTCTCAGGTTACGAGTGAGCCCGTATATCTATTAGTTGGCTTTCGGTCGAGCGAGCATGTGTAAGCCCAAGTGACCATACGCTCACGCAGCTACACAATGTAGCTGCGCGTGCAGTCTCACAGTGCAACCAACACTATGCAGTCTCTCGCTGACGGAAAAGGGAAAAGAAGAGTTTAGACCCCAATTGCACTCATAACCTTCATCATTACAGAGCTTAAGCATACAGATACAAAGGCTGCGCGTCTCATTGACCTCTCACCAAGAAACCAAGCAAATCACCCAATACAAATAACACGTCCAAATAGACAAGTGCCTAGTCAAGCTAATACCAACGTATTCAATTCCAACCACATTAAACACTTTAAACTAGGCTTCAATACGTCGATTTTCCTTCGTGGCTAGCACGTTTTGAATCGCTATTACGCGCAGGTGCTTCTCTCTTACTCGCCCACTTTCACAGTTCACTGAGGACTTATTTCTTTGCCACGATGCAACAAGGTCAATCAATAACGATCAGTCGTACTGACTAAAATAAAAGGTAAACTAAAATTAGTGAAAACAAAAGGGGATTATTCTGCAAAGACCAGTATCTTATCTGAGGACTCGATCAGGGTTGTTATAAAGGAAAGATATGTCATTGACCCTTGTTTACCGCCTCTTCTACAAGTTGAAAGTCACTCGAAAGTGGCGAGACAGACGGTCGTCAGAGAGGGAGCGCCCTCGTTGTCGCCACCACATCGTGTGCAGATCGCACAGCGCATGCCCCCCTCCGTCCTGACAGATGTTAAGTCTTCCTTCCAACTAACTCTTGACCGTGTCACATCTCATCAGAGAGAATTTGTCACTGGCCGCCCGCAAAAGCATTTCTGCTCGATAGGTGCACATGCGTGTAGCTCTCGCTTAGCGTCTGATGACCCCGCTGCGTGGCCAAAACTTATAGTCACTCAACAGACTAGAGCGTCACATTGGCGCAACGACGCTTGATGTCAACAATAAAAATTCTCAGGTTCGCGCGTCCCTCTTAGCATCTTGCCCGCATACACTGTCTTCTCCCTCCGCTCTCCAGAGCCTTGCCACGTGTAGCGCGTGTCTCTCAGTAACTGCACTTGCCTCCCTTCTCGTCTTTGACACTGGCACCTCCTTCTAGTGCCCACCTACACTTTCTCTGCGTAGCAGTCACTCATTAGCACACGCCTCCCAGTTCAAGAAACTCACTCATCATCGCGTGTCCGTTTTTACAGCCTCCCCCTTTTGTTGACCGCCCTTTTGCTCCCCAGGTCACGCCACCTGTCCCGCGGGTCTCAGTCCCGCTTTCGCTCAGTGATCAGTGCCCTTCTCTGGCTCACGGACCATGATACGTGTAACCCGTACGCGCGCGCTCCCTCGACACAAACTCAGTCCCTCTCTTAACTAGGGTCCCCTCCGTCTCTATCGCGCGAACAGTCGTGCTCTCGTCACTCGTACCCACTCGTACCCTCTTATGCTGAGCGATCTGCCTTCGGCATGCGCACCACACTTGAGCATGAAGGACAGCCGTTGACGTCACCTGCATTGTCGCGGTTCGTGTCTGATTACCGCACCTCTCTTCTCGTTTGACTCTCTCTCTCTCTCTCTCTCTCTCTCTCTCTCTCTCTCTCTCTCTCTCTCTCTCTCTCTCTCTCTCTGTGGACTGTGCCCCCTTAGACCTGTCTTTTCCCACTGCTCTGCTTCTAATCTGTTCTAGGTCTGCCGTGTCCATCGAGGTCCCAGTCTCGTGATAGGCCACCGTTATCCGTAGCCTTGCCGTCACTCCGTCCAGTCTGCAACGTCTCTCAGCCCGATCTCTCGCCTCCGAAATCGCGTCCTGTAACTTCGAGTTAGTCCGCATTTCCCCTTCTCTCGCTCCTTCCACGTTGATCTTCAGTACCAGCTCATCCCTATCGTCATAGTTGAGTATGACGGTGATCCAGGGTCCTTCCCCGGACACGGGCTTCCAACGGGCCTGGTGGTACCAGTACCCAGGTCTATACTCGTGCAACGCCATGGCTTTCGCTCAGAATAGATAGTCCTGTCTCCAGGAACAGGCACTCGGTTCGCACAGGCACCCACTACCGCTGACTTATTAGTCTCAAGCTAGCTGCGCCAGCACACGAGGTAGCCAACTGATGCACTTTAACTGGCCGCCAGATAGCCAGCACTAACGCCCCAGAGCGGGTGATGGCTAACCAGGCTCAGATCCGTTAGGAACAGAGGACCTCAGCGAGCCACCACCGCCCTACCAGCAACACGACAGCCTCACTCGTTTTTCGGAAGACCCAAGGGCTCCCTCTTTTATAGAACTTAGTAAAGTTGCGATCCCGGCGTGCTGAAGAAAATTCAAATAATAATTTAAAATATTTATATATAAAAATAAAATAAAATACAAATATTCTCAAACAAATTTTTTTTTGAAGGGTCAGCATTCGTAACTCAACGATCGAAGTACAGACTAGACCTCTTGCTACTGTCACTTTCAGGGCTCCGCAACGCTACTACGGACCAACGGCGACTGAGACGGTCCCATAACGGGATACCGACCACCTGTTTCCTTCCTATTAAAAACACCAGAATGCTACCCCTAATGGGTACTCACGTCCGATGGCATGGAGGGGGTTTATGACCCTCTATAGAAGGTGATATTCCTCCTACCAATGCGGCCGCGGGTCGCCCTCCTTTTGGGGTCCAACCGCGCGGCACGGTCGGCGCTCATTCCCAGGTGATACAAGAGGGCCAACTCGGATCGCAACTCCAAATTCGGACCGTTGGCCTTCCCGCGAAACGACAAAAGGAAAAAGAAGGGATGCGTCTGAAAACCGGTGAAGTAATAATGATAATAATAATAAGGCGATTCAGGGTTCATTAGTGCAGCGGCTCCGTCCGAATAGTGGAACATGTCCTCGCACAGAACTAAACCCCGAGGCCCTTCCTTCTTCCTTTCTTTTCCTTACTCCCTCCTTTTCCGAGAAATTACCGTATCTACCCCTGAACTCAGCTACTATCCCTGTACCTGGTCCAGATCACGACCATTAGGACCAGACGGTCCTCTCAACCCCATGCAGGCTCAGTCTAAACTAACAGTGACCACGGCCCGGAAACAAGACCGTTGGCCCCCCCCGAAGTGACAGAGTCCCGACAACAGGGGAAATGACATCTGAAAATCGGCGAATAAATAATAATAGAAATAATAGTAACAGAAATAACAAGAGAAAAAGGAAAAATCAATCGATGCAGTAGACGATCATTGTTGAATCATTCTAGACTAAAGCAACGGTCCTGACTCACGTGCTGATCAGGTTTTCTACCTTCTTTTCCTTGTTTTCTATATTTTTGTTCCACGCACCTAACCCATAACTTGGCAGAAGGTCACTCGGCGCGCACTAGAAAAGACTGCGCCAGTCCCTTCACCTTCGCGTTCCAGGGCAAGCCCGACGGCTACCACGGTCACAGGCCGGTTGTGCTCCGCTGTACAGCAGGGCGCCGTGTGGACCAATGGAAGTCCTGTGGCGCACCCCTTTTGCTGAGGGCAACGCCACCGGGACTGGTCCACATCATACTATAGCCTCGGTACCAGGTAGGGACTTGGCACACGGAGGAGGGCCGGGACACCGCGCCCTCCGACACCGCCCTCCTGCAACGGGTGCGGAAAGGGCGATTTCGAGATGGGACGGTCCTCCGGACCTGCAATTGCCTGCAGTGGCGTAAATTTGTCGAATGGTGGTGGCGTCATTTGAATGGCGGATGCAACCCTGTGGGCCCCGAAAAAAAAAAGTGTGGGCGAGAAAGTTCCCGCCAGCTGGTGTATAGCAGTCGTCGATTGAGCGAGATCGGGCGGTTGGAAATGACCAGTCCTCTTGAAATTATGGACTTCCCTCCCGCAACGGTTACGGAAAGGGCGATTTCGAGATGGGACGGTCCGTGAAAAAAAGGGCCCACCTGATGACACAGCTCCCGACGCGACTCTCCACCGGGACGATCCTTATGGCGGCCAGCGGAAGCCCCCCCCCCCGCCCCCCCGTCCTACAACGAACATGCCAGTTGGCCGCATGAATCGGACCAAGGTGCTGTCAACCCCATTCGCTGGTGTCATTTGCTCCGTGTTCTACCGCAGCGACGCGTTCGCCATCACTAGAAGACGCCCGCCATCATATCGCAGGCCACAAGAGCTTTCAGGGCGTTGTTATTCCGTGCAATCGTCGATAGTTGGGGGCGCTTACGTAAACGGCACGTGACGTGCGACCTTGCGTGTGAGCCCGTTCGCGCTGGGCTCTTCCTACGCGCGTTTGAGGTTTTTATCGGCTCGCAGGTCAGTAACAGGCCTACATTTTCTCATCGCCCGTCCACATCTTCTTCCTCCCTGATTTTCGGATCCTCTTTCCTTATCTTCTTGAAGAGATCTAATGCAGTCGCTCGTTCACATCTTTTTCTGCCTCGTCATTTGAACACGAGTCGATCGGCACACGATCTTGACGAACCGATCGACATGCGATGGCGTACACACGTCAGCCCACGTCAGATATCTTCGCCACGAGCGTCTACTGATTAGAAGCACGAAAGTCGCGAGCTACTGACATATGCTGACGTCATTATCTTCTGCATGACGTCAGCGAATGACACTAGCTTAAGGCTTTCGCGGTCAAGATCGTCGGACGCCCCCGACGAACACATCTGACACGTGGACGATGCCGCATGGCCATTGGTCTTGACGTCCTCGAGATCGCATCCCAATCGACTTCCTGATCCCGCCGTCCAATCGACGGTCCTGAAGTCTTCCAGATGTTGTGCCATTGTTGTGGTGATCCCATCATCTTATGTGCTTGTCATCGGAACGCTGCGCGCCGAACTCGCACGACGAACGCATCTGCAATCCTGACCACTGCCAGGTGTCATTCTTGTCCCTAGCGAAACCAAACGTGTACCGCCAAGATCAATCGCCCGTGTTGAACACACAGCCTGCAGTAACACACAGCCTGCAGTGCGGAAGCTAGCCGCCTTCGGGCGTCACACACCTTACGTGCGTTTGCGAGGTTTCACGAAGACCCATCGCACAAATCCAGTATGAAAGGAGCACTGACAACGAGCTCGATCTTGCCCCTTCGCGATGGGATGCTGCAGGAATGGCTGCGCTCTGAGGATGTCGTTGTTGCACCATGGAACTTTCAATTTTGCCCCTTCGCGATGGGATGCTGCCAGAATGGCGATGTTGTGAGGATGTCGTGGTTGCGCCATGGAACTTACTGATCGGCTTGCTGATCCAGTCTGCCTATCACGGGTCGTGTCGTCTTTCAGATCTTGTGTTAGCTGTCCCTCGTTATCCCGTACGCCTGTCATCGGAATGCTGCTCGTAGAACTCTCACAACATATGCACCTATAACCACTATCTGCAACTTGTCGAACTTCCCCAATGCGAAGACCCACCCCGCACCGCCAAGATTCATCGCCCCTTGTCGCACACACAGTAAGCACTAACAACCCCGCACGTCACCGACCGTCACACACCTCACGTGCATTGGCTGCATTGCGGGAAGACCCATCACGCACCTCGAAGATGGAGGGAGCGCTGACAAGTTTCATCGCGCACCCACAACATCGCCATAGCGCCGCCTTTCGTGCAGCATCCTATCGCAAATGCCAAGATTCGAATACGCCACACTCTAACGTGGACATGGTGCTCGACACCGACGGCGTGATCATGGGGGAACGCGGCAGGAACAGGACGGTTCCGACGTAAGGGGGCCATCGACTTCCAATCAACGAAATTGCGAATGACAATATAAGATTTTCGTGAATCTCAGCTCCCCCCTGCTTTTGCCTTCCTCTCAGGTTCGGATTCAACCGAACCACAACCAAACAGGAGTTAGGGACGACAATGCTGGCTTTTGTTTGTATTCTGTTCTACTAGATGGGGGAATTCAATCATCACACAAGATGCATTAGTTCCGCCTCACTCCGAGATGTTTGATGTAGTTCGGATGAATCCGAATCACCTCGATCGGTGCCTTAGAAAGTCTCGTCGGGAAGGAATTTGCAAATTATGGAAATGAACCATCTGAATCTGGCTCGGATAACTTCGAACCACATCCCTCCTATCGACGCGAAGTCCCACAGGGGAGGGATGACGACGGCACAGACCATTGCGTCCCAAGTTAACATCAACGCAAATTATGAATTGGATTCATCCGAACCAGGTTTCTTGAAATGAAATAGAACTTCAAAAAATCGCAACGCGCAACATACGTGGAAAAATGAAATTTATCTTCGTGATCCTTCCCTACTGTTCCGCTTGTTTCTGTGATTCGGATGCATACGAACCACAACCGAAGATGCGCATGGGATGGGATTTCCATTTTCGGTGGGTATTGTTTTGTTCACCAACTCGCTCACTGTGGCGGGTAGTCTTTGGGGACGGTTAAGAAGGGCACGTGGCCGATGAAGGGGGCACGTCGTCGTTTGTTTGAATCACGAATTTAACGCATCCCGGACACGCTTCTTAACAAAATATGCGGTTTCTGAAAATCGCAGCGCGGAAATGCCTGGGAGAACAACCCTCAAGGAATTGTTTCTTGCGACCTCCCCCCTGGGTTCTCCATGCTCCTTAGATACGGATGGTGCCGAACACCGATCGACGAAGGGGTGACACTATCGACTCTCTTGCATATTCTCGTCTGCGTTGAAAGTATAGGACGGTCTGCTCGCACGACATCTCAGTGACCCA